TACATGCCAAATGTTTGAGGAGTCTGTGGGGTTAGAAGCAATGCATTAGTGCATTTAAAGTGAAAGATATAAATAATACATGCCGTGTAGCTATTTCCAACCACATAATAGCTTCAGTCTTTGCTACAGTGTGATGCTTGTGCCAAGTGAAAGTGTCAGAGCGTAGCTGCAAGCTAAATGATATCCCCCTGAGGATGTGGCAGAGCAGGGGGGGATGGCTCAGGGAGGCTACAAATGAACTTACAAATCTTTATATTTTTCTGCTCAACACATTTTAATTTTGAGATTTTAAAGCATGCCACAGTTTCAGTCTAGAATCTGCCATTTAAAATAGTTGTTGTAATGCAGACAACAATGTACAACGTAAATGATTTAATATTTCACACTGAAGTTCTATGCATGTATGCTTTTGAGGGTGCATGAGCACACAAAACAATTGTAATGAATACAACATATCACAATAAATGTGCCATTATAAGACCGTAGTCTCTGGATTTTGGACTTGGAAACCTTCTGTAAATCTAAAATCTATAAATGTAAAAGCTGTCAGGCTGGGCCCTGAAAATTGTATATGGCTGTTGTTAACAAGCTCGGCTCCCAGGTCTGATATTAACCATCAGTGCTTCTACAGAAAATAAGAGAACTACATATTCACCTTCAGGAGTTCTAGAATTCAGTGTATGTAGGAGAAAGGTAGGATAAATAACAGTCCCTATTCATATGATTATACTTAAGAGGTTGTGGGTTTTTCTATACCACAAACCCTTGGAAATAAATTATTGACTATTTGTTCCAAATGTTTTTTTTCCCCCAATCCACTCCTACCTTTATTTCTATAGGTCATTTTATCTAATTGGTCCACTAGGATCTAAATATATCTTACATAAAATCATTTCCCCTTTTTTCAACATTTTTTGTTATATGCCTTTCATGGCTATTTAAGCCCTTTTACTTCCAGCTATTTTTTCCTACTCAAGACTTTCATTTAGGCAGGATTTTTGAGGGGTTGTTTTTTTGTTTTTGTTTTGCCTGATGTTATGTGGCATTTTAGCAACTCTCAGAACAAGAAAGCTATAAATAATCACAGTGTCATATGACACTAAATTTCATTAATGCATTTACATAGAAAATGCATTTCATTCCAGCATTCTTGTCCTCTTCTTTTTCCCTTTCAGTTTTCTTCTACTTTTCAGGGAATTTCAGAGTGGCCAGGAAGATACTCAGTATCCATTGGATGACTGATTATTTGGATCTAAAACTTAACAATTCCACCATGTTAGTTGTTGTTGTTTTTATTTGCTCCATTATCCTGAATTTGAGATTGATCAGAAGAAAGTGAGGCAGACCAATTTCTCAAGAAGTTTGATTCTGTCAGTTTGGATTAGAATCAAGAGGAAAGATTCATATTCCACAAGCATTGAATAAGGGTATTTCACTCAACAATGCTCAGACAACCAGTTATTGTAGTATATCTTTGCTTAATTTATGTTAAACTTGCTTATTTTAAACCTCTTGTAGAAGAAAAAATTAAAATCCATCATTATATGATTACAAAGCTGTCTATATATATGTGCACACAAACAAGTTAGCCAATTTAGGTTTTCATATCCATGAAAATTGTCCCTTAATCTGTCTGTTTGTTGCTACGCCAGGTTCTTTTTGAAGAAGACTTACCTCTTTTTAATCTAAACTAGTTACCTCTTTTTATCTAAGTTACTTGTATTATGTATACTTTCTGTCAAGAAGTTCCATCATTAATCCATTACTTATGAGACAGAAACATATTTTTCTTTGAGTATGTGATTTGGATGAAGTGGTGACACAACAGTAGTACTAGTAGGTAATGTTTTAATTAATGAAGTCTCTGAGCTAAACATATTTTGTCTCATCCTTTCAAAAGTACCAATTAGCTGGCATCCGGTTTGAGCTTCTTTGGTGACAGACCAAAATCCGCGACTGTGCGGGGTTTTGATCTGTGCTCACTGCTGGAGCACCCTGAGCCAGCTGACTTCAGGGCTAAGCTACCCCATAGAGGTGGTGAAGAGGGGGGAGACTGCCAGCAAGGTCAAGGAGAGTCGCATCTCTCCTCCCCAGCTGGCCATTACTCCCTTTCCCGAAGGCCGTTGTAGCGGTGGTCAGAAATGGCCACCTCAAAGAAGAATTCGACCGGAAAAGAATGTGCAGGAGGAAGATAAGAAGAGAAAGTTTTGGCTGACCGGGTCGAACTGAAAAAGCAACGATATAAGTACCCTGGAATTTGTATAATAAAGAACAACATTGCTCCCAAAAAAGACTTCGAAGTGGTGAATGAGAGAGGAAGGGAAAGGATTTGTTTTTTTTTCTTTTCTTCCCTATATTGACAACTAAGAGATTTAAGCAAGAAATTGACAAAAATCCACTTTGATATTAACAGATATTTAAGCTGAAATTAAAATGTCAAAGGGCTAATAAAGATTTCTGGATTCTCAAAAACTTTTAAAAGAAGGAAAAAAACAAAAGGATGGGATCTGGAAAAATGGAGGAGACTACATGGAAGTGAAAGGAATTAACAGTGAAACTTTAACAAGATTCCTAAAAGATACATTTTAACTGAAACTTTGTAACAAGATAATAGAACCCCAGGAAGAGAAAATGGAAAAAAGAAGCAAAAAGATACAGCTTTGGATTATTTGGATTACTTGGTGATTTTTGGGTTTTTGGCTATTGGATCTAATGGACTAAAATTAATCGGGTGGTTGTTTAAAAGTTTTTAAAATGGTATCACTCTTGGAAGAATTGAGAATGGAACTTAAAAAACAGAAAGAAGATGCACAAGAAGGAAGAGGTTCTTTTGGCTTCGTATTTCAACTTTTAGAAATGGAGATCCTGAACTATGAGAAACAACAAGAAATGCCTGTTGAACAAGAAAGGCAGGACAAAGAAGAAGACACCTTCAATAACCAAGTATTTCTATGTGGGGAAAAGAAAGGAAAGGGGAGAAAGAAAGTGAAAAATTTAAGATTTGAAAAAACAACCCAAAAAAAGAATAGTTTGAAAAGTAATTACAATATTAGGAGAAACAGAAGAGAGGATTACAGAAGAGAGAATCAGACTTAGAGAGAGAAGGAGACAAAAAGGGAAGGGAGAAGAAGAGGGGGAAGAGGGAAAGGAAAAGAAATTATAAAGAACAGAAACAGGATATAGAGAAACAGGGAAAACGTACAAGGATTAAGGGTATAAGCCTATTTAGAAGACACAGAGATAATGGGTGAAAATTCAATTGAAAGGGGGATTCTGCAAGGGTACAGATAGTATTGTTATATTAGAAATAGAAATAAACTTTGAAAATACGAAACAAGAGTGCTTAAAATAACAGATAAAATACTCATTGTAATCTAATGTAATGTTTAATAAATAAATGAAATAAAGAGAATGAGAGAATGAAATTAGGAAAGGAGGGGAACATTTTAATTATTATTGTGCTATAAAAATTCAAGTGAAGGGGAATATGAAAGAAATATGAAAAAATTATGGAAATGTTATAAGTGTTCCTAGAAGTAGGGAATCCTATTGAAAAGAAATGTTAAAGATGTTAAAGATTATAACTAACATTAATGCTAGAGCTGAATTGGAATAGAATAAGTATTTTATTTATTATTGTTATATATATACTTTCTCTTTAAGAACTTAGTGTGTATTTTAAGAATGTACCAAGCAGAATTTGACTGGAAATTATGTGTTATATTGAACGTCATTATTGTAAAGGCATAAATTGAAGTTCAAATAAGAATTGAATGGATAAAAATTAAAAGATGCAAAGGTGTCATACTCCAATCACTAACTACAGGGGAAATTTTTGTTTAATGAGTAAAGAAAATATGAAATTGAAACAGGACAGACAAAAGTATAAATATAATGATTAGAAAGATATTGAAATTAGAAAAAGATATATATAATTGAATTTAGAAAGGAATGAGATAATTAAAAGCAAGATTGAGAAAATTAAGGGAAGGGAAAAATTATTGAGAAAATGTTAAAATAGTAATAAGATATCAACTAGAACACAAAGATGAATATGGAATTGAATTTGTGTCTGTATGGAGAAGTGATAACTCCGGACCATGCTATTCTCCAAAAAAGAAATTTTACTTGTATTATGTTTTGTGAAAACCCGAATAAAATTTTTATTAAAAAAAAGGTGCCAATTAGCTTTTCATTACAAAGGCAAAGAATTTTCTCTCAAAATATTACTTTGTGTCAAATAGCCAAGTACCCACCTTAATGGATGGAACAGTATTGCCTCGGGCAAGGAATATTTTTAAAGCCACAGAACTAGGTCCCAATGATGAAAATAGGAATTTTGTCATGCATTTTAAAATGAGTAAGAACAAAATGAGAAAAGAATTCTAGTTAATTGCAATGTATTATGAAATCCTTGGATGGGAGACTAAGAAGTGAATATGCATTTTTGTTTTTTTGGTTAACTTATAGACCACTAGTTGTTTCAGCTCTATAGCATTCTGTACAGAAGGAATATCTTACATAACAAATATAGCAGCATTCTAGGACCCTTCAATTTTTTTTACCAATTTATTATGAAATAAGATCTCATGGATCATCAAAATATACAAGGAATAAGGATTAACACTAAATGATTGTCGTGTGTTTAGTTATTTTCTGAGACAAACTAAGATCCTCATAATCTGTTCTTGGGAATCTGATGATAAATATATTTTCTATAACTATTTGAGCTATAAATTTCTATTTGTTCATCTAATGCTAGCATTGATATAAATTCATGAACTGCAGTAGCCACAGCAATGTTTATTTTTATATATATTTATATATATTGTCCTATTGTGTTGAATTTAATCCACATGTGGAAACCTGTGTATTTTTGAGTAATAGGAAAACATATTTTGAACTCAATATAAATAATCTGTGATACAGTAGTCATATTTATCAGTTCAAAATGCAGAAATGGATATCCTATTTTGTCATGTTTTTCCCCCGCTCTACAGATTGTATTCCGGAAGATCAGTGATGTAAAACGAGAAGAAGAAGAGAGAATGAAAAGGAAGAATGAAGCCCCTTTGGTCTTGCCACCTGACCATCCAGTACGTCGGCTTTTCCAAAGATTTCGGCAGCAGAAGGAAGCCCGACTAGCTGCAGAAAGAGGAGGCAAAGAAGACCTTGATGTTGAAAGGGGCAACATTTTAGGAGATCACTCTTCCCACACAGTTGTCAAAGCCAGCATTGTCACCGTAAGGGAAAGCCCCGCAACCCCAGTTGCCTATCAGTCTGCTTCAACATCAGGTATATCTGACCAGGCCAAACTACAAGCTCCAGTTTCAGACTATGTTGGTGGGAAAGCAGCAGGAGATTATCCAAAGCGTAAAGGCTGGGCAAAATTCAAAGATGCTTGTGCTAAGGGAGAGGACTGGAACAAAGTTTCCAAAGCTGAATCCATGGAAACATTGCCAGAAAGAACAAAAGCAACAGGTGAAGCTACTTTGAAGAAGACAGACTCTTGTGACAGTGGCATCACAAAAAGTGACCTGCGCTTGGACAATGTGGGGGAAACACGAAGTCCTCAGGATCGAAGTCCCATCCTTGCAGAAGTCAAACATTCTTTCTACCCTATCCCTGAACAGACTCTCCAGGCAACTATGCTGGAAGTGAAACATGAATTGAAGGAAGACATCAAAGCTTTAAATACAAAAATGACCAATATAGAAAAACAGCTTGCTGAAATACTAAGGATATTAGCCTCTCGAAGAAGCTCTCAGACCCCACAGGAGCTGTATGAAATATCAAGACCCCAATCTCCAGAATCAGAAAAAGATATGTTTGGAGCAAGCTGAGTGGTTCTTTAAATAGGAGTGATTTGAATATCCCTAAAAACACTATCCAACACCCACTTAATGTGTTTAAGGAAACAAACATTTAATCTTTTTTTGTGATGATCATGATTTGAGGGGCCAGCTTGTTAACCATATCCCCTCTCTCTTAATGGTACAGTGACAAGAATTGCAACCTCATGTCAAGATGGCAGCTGACTCTGAAGTCTTTTTTGACAGCAAGGGTACAGTTTATAATGTTTTTCCTACTTCATTCATGCATCCTTTTCCACTCAAAATTATTTTTGACACAAACATAACTAGAGAACTAAAGTTCAAGCATTAGCTTCATATACAGTATTTACCAAGTTTGTAGGATATCTTCACATGGAATGTGTGAGACCCAATTCTCCCTACTCGTAAGATAACATCTATAGAAGGGCTTCCCCCCCCCCCCAAAAAAAAAACACCTCAGTTTGTGAAAACTTTGATCCTTATTGAGTGGGAAGATTCATGTGGTTCCCTCATGTGAGATGTTATTGTCTATGTGTGGCGGAAGAGATCTCCATCATTCCTCTTTAAAAACATACTTAGGTTTTAGGTAATTGGACCAGGGAAGTTCAACTGTGCCCTTTCCAAGCTACAGGTTGCAAAAATGTCTTTATGTGTTTTTTTTTAACTTATTGTTGAGTAGCTGAATAAGTTCTTGCCTGGTGAAATGAACTTATTTTGCCTTCCCCCCAGCTCTTCATCAGAAATTTTAGGGATTCCTGTTGTAGTAATCAAAAGAGATGACATTTATGGAATTTGTTATCAAGAAATATACATAGTTTTTAATTTCAGCTATGAGTCATAGCAGGCATTATAACTTACCACATAGTTGGTAATATCTCTTTACAAAAATAGAATACTAAAAGGCCAAGGAGCTCAGCTGTCCAAAGTATTGAAGCTTTTTCAAACAAAAGCTTCTATCTAGAGTGGTATTGACAAGAAAAATGGTCTTCTTGCCCATGCTAAATATTTATCACATTTTGTACTTACTTTGTTTAATGCCCCCTACTCACTTTATCACTGAGTTTCTTTTCAGCACTGTAAACACCAAAGGATGTTGAAATATTTATACATTAGAAGCAATGATGCATTAATAAGAAACCATTTCAATGTGTTTGTTCATTGTAATGGTCTCCAGTACCTCATGAAGAAGTGTAGCATTTATTCTTATTCAAAGAGCTCTGATTATTCTCTGATCTTTTCTTAAGATAACCCGATTAGGTCATGGATGAAACGTAATGGGAAAGATGAGCAAGGGTTCTAATACGGTTGGATCAAGGTGAAATAGCTTGACAAAGAAAGTATGGTCTGTGATTCAGCAAGATTTGTCTTAGATTCCACAATTATTTTTATAATCAGAATGTGATTATACTAAACCATAATGTGCTTTCTTTGTTTTATATACACACCCGTTATGATTTAGTGTTATGAGCAAAATAATCCACAATGATTTATTTAGTAATTTATGTTTTAAAATTCCTGGCATAGCATTGGACATATGAAAAATCATGGATTGGTGGTGGTTGGAATGAATAATTGACCTGTCATCTGTAGAATATCGTAAGATAGTTTCAAGGCATATAAAGGAGCCAACTGATGCAACTTATTGTATTGCTTTTTAAGAGCAGGGCTAGTGCACAATTGAAGCAACCATAGTACTAAAATAGTGTGTCTTGAGATATTTAATCATGAGCAATTACAGGAAGAAGGATAATATAGCTATCACCAATTTAGACCCATACCTTTCAGTGCCAGCTGCGTCTATTTACCTTTTTTACCTCTTTTTTTTCTCTTTTCTGTATACTTTTTTTGGAATGATCTATGGGCTGTTGGACACAACGTCCTTTGTTTCCTGGATCAGATACATAACATTGTATCTGTCTTTTTTCTCCTAATTTTATGTGTTTCTTTCTGAGGCCAGGAGATTCAGTTGAAGAAATAGATCTTTCTAAATTAAACGGGGAACTTGTGCCTAAACTTCCAGCATATAATTATGTCAGAACAATTAAATTTAGTGACACGGTTGTATCATTTAGACAGGAACAGGGTTTCCATAAAAACAATTTTATTGAATACAGATGCCTCCTTGCTTACCATGGTTTGGAAACTAGGATCCAATTTTAATCTCTGACTCCCTTGGCCTCCCCTATCTCCTTCTACAATGCAACAGCCCTCTTCCTTTCTCTGCCTCCATAAGCCAGAGTTTAGCACATCTACTCTAGCAGTAATCATAGGTTATAGTCATTGTAGCCTAATTAACCTCAATGCATTTGTAATTTTAAACCATAGTAGAAACAAAAATGGGAGTGGGAGGAAGACTGAGGAGCAAAGAACTTGATTGCTTAGGAATATATATTTTTTCAACTGTGCTTTGTAGAATTTGTGCTGATTCTTTGCATATGGAAGAGAGGGACAGAATGTTTCCTAGAGAAAGGACAAAAATAATCTGATTTACAGGTAGTCCTTGATTTACAACCATTCAATTAGCAACTGTTCAAAGTTACATCAGCTCTAAAAGAAGTGACTTATGACCGATCCACTTAGGATCATTGCAGCATTCCATGATCACACTATCATGATTCAGGTGTGATCATCGTTTGCAACCTTCCCAGCTTCTGACAAGCAAAATCAATGCGCAAGTCAGCAGGAAAGGTAACAAGTTATGATCACACGATGGTCACCAAGAACCGTGGTGGCACAGTGGTTAGAATGCAGTATTGCAGGCTACATCTGCTGACTGCTGGCTGCCAGCTGTTCAGCAGTTCAATTCTCACTGGCTCAAGGTTGACTCAGCCTTCATCCTTCTGAGATCAGTAAAATGACGACCCAGATTGTTGGGGGACAATATGCTGACTCTGTAAACCACTTAGAGAGGGCTGTAAAGCACTGTGAAGCAGTATATAGTAAGTGCAAAAAAAAAGTTATAAAATTGGATACAGTTACATGATGTCTCATAATGACTGCACCACTTAACAGTTTTTCCAGTCCCCATTGTGTTGTAAATTGAGGACTACCTTTATTCTACATTTAAATTTCATTAACATGAAAAGCAGAAACATATTACTACTTTTAGAAGTGTCTTTGAGCTTTACTCAAGATTGTTAGAGTTCTCATCTTGTCAGAGCATTCATCTCTGTTGTGGAAAGTAATACTTCTGTTTTCCATGCAGGCACATGAAGTTGATAATGATGGAGATTCCAATTGACTTGTGGCATAATGCCTTTCTCATACAGTAGCTTCTTATTCATTGCCATCTGACAATACAGATTTCCCTATATATTGATCAGTCAAATAATAAGAACTTGCACTATGCTATCCTACACTCCTCTCTGCAAACGATTCTAATTTTTAAAGGGGCTTTTTGAATTCCAGCCAAGGTCTTAGTAGAAAGATTTAATGGTTGTTCAACAGCAAGGATGCAGACAGAGTTTTTGCTCTCATCTTCATAATTATTAGAGACAAAAATAGAAACTGTTTCCAGTTATATGCAGCACATAATGTTCAGTAGTTAGTAACTCTGTTAAAATCCTGGAAGCAGGTAACTGTGGAGGATGTTAGTTTTTAAGACTATTATCTTCTATGTAGGATTATATTATGAAGTTAAATCATGAGGTTGGTGTAAACATTCGTGCCATTTTGCTGAATTTATCATGCATGTCATTTACGTAAGTTCTAGAAGCTGAGTGTTTAGTTGGCTAATCTGTTAGAAAAAATGAATTAAAGGCCTTTTAACATATTTTAAAAGCCATTTCCACTTAATAGAACAATTAAAAAAATAACTTGGGTTCAATAGTATATGAATACAGCTCTCCCTACTGGACCCTACTGTATCTGCTACCTTTTTCCTATCCTGGCCTTTCAGAGCATATTTGGAAAAGTGTGGGATACAGCTGGAAGAAAGAATAAAGGTTTCTCCAGACAGAAATTTATTTTTGGTTATATAATAAGAGCTTTGGATCCCTGCTTATGTAGTTAGTTTGAATGTCTTAATTTATAAAAACTGCAAGTGGGAGCAGTCATCTTAAGAGATAAATTGCTCCTTTTTTCCAATCAGGTGAAAACGCCCTATTTCTCACAGCCTTAATATGGTCATATAGGAAGCAACCAAAAATGAAGAAAATGGGCCTTGAGTTTCTTAGTGGGCTCTGAGCATGGACGTTTTTCCTGCAGTCCTTGTGCTAATGATGTTATCTAGCCTGATAACAAAACTTCTGCAGGACAACAACCAAATTTAGAGAATACCAAGAACATAAACATTTCAATCCTAAATTATATATATATATATCTTGTGCATTATTGAAAATAGGCTTTCTTCTCTTCAAATCATCATTTATCCATATGCAAACATGTGTAGTTTTAAATTTATTAATCTGTTAGTCAGTGTAAAACCATATAATTAATAGCTTAAGACGTGTACAACTGGGAAATTATTCTTGCACTATGTACCAAAGGTATACTGTAAGTAGAAAACCTCTAATCAAGTTTTTTTTAATTGCCTTGGCATACTTATAGCCTTTTGTAAGAAAGGAAGATGAAGAAGATAAATCTTTTATAGATTTATCTTCTAGAATAAGGTAGCTTAGTAATGTAATTAATATATTCTTAAGGCTTCTATAGGTACTATGTGTTATTAAAAGTTATAGCCTTACATCAGTTTTTAACTCTGTGTGTGTGTGTGTGAGAGAGAGAGAGAGAGAGAGAGAG